AAAAAAAAAAAAAGAAAAAAGAAAGTAAGAGCAGGTGAGAAAGTAAGCTACTAAGTCCAGGACTTGAACCACGGTCGGCCATGTGGAAGTCCAGTGCCCTTAACCACCACGCCACCTGCTAGCCTCCACTTTTTTTTTTTGAGAGTTTTTTACTATAGGGCACATGCACTCGCCAGAAAGAAAGAGAGCGACAGAGACAGAAAGCAAGACATCACCCCCCAGGGGAATGGCCACGCCGCAATCCCTTCTCCTGTCCTCACCAGATCTTGGGCATGCACACACACACACCCGGCGTGAGTTTAAGCCTCTGGATCTGGAACTCAGACCGCAGCCGGCTACATGGAGTCCAGCGACACAGCCATTATGCCATCTGCGGTTCCCACCACTTTTTTTTAAAGAGAGATTTTTGCTATAGGGCCTGACCAGAGAGACAGCAATAGCAAGGAATCACTCCCGCAGGGGGATGGCTGCACCGCAATCCCTTCTCCCTTCTCCCTTTTCCTCTTGGGATTTTGGCCATGCGTGCACATGTGCCTTGGCAGCTAGAAGCTCACACCAGGGGCCTGAACGGTGGCTGACCATGTGGGCACCCGGCAACGCAACCAAATAACCATTACACCATCTGCTGGTCCTTTTTTTTTTAGTTTTGCTAAGGGGCACACGTGCTCACCAGACAGAGACAGAGAGAGAGAGAAAGAGAGAAAGGGAATGTGAAAGGGGGGAGGGTCACATCACAATCCTTGCTACTCCAGTCTCCTCTCGGGATTTTGGGTGTGCATGCATAAGTGCCAGTGTGATTTTCTTCAAGCCACCAGGTCTGGGACTCGGCCTGTGGGTCCAGCTATGTGGGATTCAGTACCTTAACCCCCATGCTGGCTACTGGCCCCGTCCTGTTTTCGTTTTGCCCTGCTATGTCTCCACTGCTAGGTGCTTGGGTAGTGGTAATAAGGACAGGGCTGGTTGGTGGCCGCCGTAAAACTTAGCCTCTGGGCGGCTGGCCCCCGCGCAAAGGTTCTGGATCAGCCTCTGGAGACCTCCCAAACACGCAGCCCTGTGGTCACCCATGGGCTAGCTGGAGCTGCAGGGGAATCTCCTTTAAGACCCCTGTGGGATGGAACTGGCAGGTGGTGTGGTGGTTAAGAGTGCTGGACTCCCCCACATGGCGTACCGTGGTTCAAATCCCAGATCTGATGGCTTACTTTCTCATTTTTCCTCCCTCTCTCTCACTCTGTCCCTCTCTGGTCAAATTAAAATAAATAAATGGATAAAGTTAAATAAAATCATTCTTTAAAAAACCCCCAAAACCAGCACACTGGGGCCAGCTTGGGGTGGATGAGCAGCCGGACCCCACACGGTGGACCTCGACTCCGCAGTCTGTCTTGAACCCGAGCAGTGCGAGTGCCCAGGGTCCCGAGAGGAGGGTGGGGGAGAGAGGGCCGCGTGGCCATGCCCCATGTGGCACGCCTCCTCCTCTCCCGGTCTCTGTCTTGGTCTCTCTCTGGCAGGCGCAACCCCTCTAGCTAAAAAAAGACCCTGTCAGGTGCTGTGTCTCTCTGTCCCTCTCAGTCATGGAATCGATAAGTCAATAAGCTTTAATAATAATTATGATAATAATAACGACTCCCATTCCGACCCCTCCAGAGCTTGCCCGAGTCCTTGGAGCTGAGCTCCCCTCGATCCCCCGAAGCTGACTGGGGGCGGCCACCCGGGGGCGACAGAGACCTCTCCAGCCCTCCCTCAGGTGAGTGTACCAGCTTGGGGGGGGGGACTTTCTTGGTGTTCTCTGTCCTCACCACGTCCTGTTTGGTTCATCCAGGCCTTGGGTCACCGAGGATCTCCCGGGCTTCCAGCCCTGATAGTCGCCGTCCCTCCTCCCCGCAGGTAGGAACCAAGGTAGGTCACTCACAGCCCCTTTAGGCCTCTCTTGTAACCTTCTGCCCTGACCACCCTGACCTGCATTCCTGGGAACCGCTGGGAGAAGGGAGCTCTGACACCCAGAGCAGACAGAGCACAACCGAGAAGCCAGGACTGAGTTTGAACTCTGCGCCACCGAACCGTGTGACTGTGGGTTAGCTGCTAAACCTCTCTGTGCCCCCATTTCTTTTCTTTTCTTTCTTTTCTTTTTTGGAGAGGTTTTCGCTATAGGGCGCGTGCGTTCGCCAGACAGACAGAGAGAGACAGAGAGACAGAAAGCGTGAAATCACCCCCCAGGGGGGATGGTCACGCCGCAATCCCTTCTCCTCCATCTAAAAAGCAACTAACTGTAAAAGGTTACAGTTAGTCCCTGTGAGTCCTTTGCCCGTTCATTTATCAATTCCTTATTTTTTCCAAAAATTATTTAATGTCATTTATTGTTATTATTTTTAAAAAGATTTATTTTTAAATTATATTTATTATCATTATTCTTCAATTTTGACCAGAGAGAGACAGGCAGAGAGAAAGGGAGAGTGAGAAAGCAAGCTGCCAGGTCCGGGACTTGAACCATGGTCAGCCATGTGGGAGTCCAGCACCTCAACCACCACACCACCTGCCGGCCACTATTGTTATTATTACTTGAACAAAGAGAGACAGAGACAGGGAGAGAGGGAGAGTGAGAACGCAGCCTCCAGGGCTGGGTCTGGAACTGTGGTTGACCCTGTGGGAGTCCAGCCCCTTACCCACCACACCACCTGCTGGCCCCTCAATTCTTTTAGTAAATACGTATGGAATATCCTCCTTGCTGTCCAATAAAGCAACCAGTTCCACATGTGGCTAGAGATTTTTGGTATAGGATGCATGTGCTCGCCAGAGACAGAGAGAACGCAAGAAATCACCTCCCTGAGGGATGGCCCTGCTGCAGTTGCAATTTCTCCTCCATTCTCCTCCTGGAATTGTGGGCATGCACGCATACATGCCCAGCGTTGAGTGTCAGGTTTCTGGACCTAGGACTCGAACCGTGGTCGACCGTGTGGAAGTCCAGTGATGTAAGCATGACTCCATCTGCTGGTCCACCACACGGGGCTACTTTAAATTAAAATGCATAAAGCTTGCGGTGTACTCCCACTTTCCTAATTCAAATGCTCAGCAGCCGGGTGGGCAGCGGCCACTGGGTTTCCTGGTGGGAGGGTCTCAGAGCTGAGGACACACCTAGGAGGCCCGGGAAGCCCCTCCCCTAACGCCGCAGCCTGGGTGGCAGGGGCGGTAGCCAACACCTGAACTTCCCGGTGGTTTTACTGCGGAAGACACGGCAGGGCTGGCGGGCTGGATGCTGGTCGGGGAGGGTCGCAGTTGTAAATGGCTCGGCCTAAGGAGGCTTCGCGGAGAGGCGGTGCCTGCGCAGAGACACGGAGCGGGCGAGGGTGCGCCGTGGGGTACCTGGTGGAAGAGTGTTACAGGGTGGGGAACAGGCGGCCAAGCGTCTGAGGCAGGAGGAATCCTGGCGTGTTGGAGGAGCTAGAAAGCCAGTGTGGCTGGAGTGAGGGGTGCGGTGTTGGAGAGGCAGGCAGAGGGGGATGGAAGCAGATGGTGCTGGGGCTCGAGGCCCGCAGTCCCAGCTTTGCTTTGACGTTGAGTGGACCGCGAGCCAGGAGGGCTCTGAGCAGAGAGGGGAGCGGCCTGAAGGGGGAACCTGGCGCCCTCTGGTGGTCAGTGGAGACCCGCCTGAAGCGCCGCCTGACGCGGTCTGGGAGGGCGAGTACAGCTGTTTGTGCCAGGTTAGAGGTGGAGCCCGAGAGGGAGCCAGATTCTAAATGTACTGTCTTCAAAGTATGTTTTTTCTTTTTCTTTTTTTAAGAATTGTTTTATTTAACTTTACTTATTTTAAAATTTGGCCAGGGAGGGACAGAGAAAGAGAGAGAAGGAAAGTGAGAAAGCAAGCCACCAGGTCCTGGACTTGAACTGCAGTCAGCCACTTAGAAGTCTAGCGCCCTAAGCACCATGCCACCTGCCGGCCCACAAGTGGGGGATTTTTTGAGAAAGATTTTTGGTATAGGGCATGTGCGCTCGCCGGAGAGACAGAGACAGAGAGACAGAAAGTGAGAAATCACCACTCTCCCAGAGGTATGCCCATGCCACAGTCCCTTCACTCTTTTTTAAAAATACATTTTAACTCCAATTTTTTCTTCATTTTTTAAAAAAAGTTATTTTATTTATTCATTCATTTATTTTAATTTGACTGGAGAGAAACAGAGCGGGAGAAAGAAAGTGAGAAAGCAAGCTGCCAGGTCCAGGACTTGAACCGTGGTCAGCCATGTGGGAGTGTCCAGCGCCGTAACCACCATGCCACCTGCTGGTCCCACTGTCCCTTCACTCTTAGGATTTAGGGCACACATGCACACGAGCCTGTGTGAGTTTTAAGCCATTGGGTCCAGGACTTGAACCGTGGTTGACTACTTGGGAGTCCAGCAATGGTAACCATTTTGCTATCTGCTGGTCCTGTTTTTTTGTTTTGTTTTTGAAAGGTTTTTGCTATAGGGCACATGCGCTTGCCAGAAAGAGAGAGAAACAGAGAGACAGAAAGCGAGAAATCACCCCCCAGAGGGGATGGTCACGCCGCAATCCCTTCTCCATTCTCCTCTCAGGATCTTGGGCACGCACGCACACGTGCCCGGCGTGAGTTTTAAGCCACCGGGTCCGGGACTTGAACCGCAGTCGACTACATGGGAGTCCAACGACATAGCCATTACGCCAACTGCTGGTCCTGGTCCCATTTTTTTTAAACAGTGATTTTGTTTCTTTTTTTTTTTTTAAGAATTATTTTATTTAACTTTACTTACTTGCTTATTTATTTAAACTAGACCACAGAGGAACAGAGAGAAAGAGAGAGAAAGTGAGAGAGTAAGCCACCGCGTCTGGGGCTTGAACTGTGGTCGGCCATGCGGCAATCCAGTGCCCCCAACCACCACGCCACCTGCCGGCCCTTTTTTTCTTTTCTTTTTAAAAAAGTTCGTTCATTCATTTCTTCCATGAGAGAGAAGCGGGAGTGGCCCGGTAGCGCAGTGGTTTCACGCAGCGCATGAGGAGCTGGAGCCCCTGTGAACAGCGTCATTTGAATCCAGGCCCTGGCAGCTTGGAAATGCTGACAGCATGGAGTGGACAGAAAAGGACCATGGGTGACCAAGCGCATGGAGGGGTGCTTCTCTCTCTGATTAACACATATCTGCACACACGTATTGGTGTGTCACTGGGAAAATCATGATGCATTTTTGAGTAGAAAAACACAGAAAAATATATCATGACTTTCCTGACGACTATATATATATGTATTTATATGAATAAAAACATTTAAACACACACACACACGCACGTGCGCCCACACAGAAGGGCTCCCAAAAACCTCGTCCTCCGTGAACCTCCCACAGTCCCAGCCAACCCGGAAACGCCAGCAGTGTGGCTGTGCTTGCTGTGACACGGGGTCCTGGGTCACAAACCCGGGACCATCCCATGTGAGTGCAGTTGCATTTCCACTGCTCCGTCTTCAAACTGCCCCAAAGCCCGAGTTCCCAGCCCTAATTCAGCATGCACAGTGCTGCGGGTTCCAGACCAGCAATGTGATGGCGGGCCGAGTATCACACACCCCTCCAGCAACATCTCAGCGCTTCTCCCATAGGATGATGAATGTTCAGGACCAGCAGTTGGCGTAATGGCTGTGTTGCTGGACTCCCATGTAGCCGACTGCGGTTCGAGTCCGGACCCTGTGGCTTAAACTTACGCCGGGTACGTGTGCGTGCATGCCCAAGATCCCGAGAGAATGGAGGAGAAGGGATTGCGGCATGGGCCTCCCCCCTGGAGGGTGATTTCTCGCTTTCTGTCTCTATGTCTCTCTCTGTCTGTCTGGAGAGCACATGTGCCCTATAGCAAAAACCTCTCAAAAAAAAAAAAAGAATAAAATAAATAACGAGATGATAGTAATAAATAAAATAAATAAAATGAACTTTTTCTTAGAGAGAGTTTTTGCTATAGGGTGTATGTACTCACCAGAGAGACAGAAACAGAGAGACGGAAAGCAAAGCAAGAAATCACCCCCCAGGGGCGGACGGCAATGCCCTAATCCCTTCTTCTCCGTTCTCCTCTCAGATCTCGGGCACGCACACACATGTCCCTGGCGTGGGTTTTAAGCCACTGGGTCTCGGACTCAAACCACGGTTGACTTCATGGAAGTCCTGTGATGTAACCATTACACCATCTGCTGGTCCCAATAAATAATTCTTTTTTTTTTAAAAGAATTATTTAGTTTATTTCTTCATTTATTTTAATTTGACCAGAGAGAGAGAGAGAGAGAGTGAGAAAGTAAACCACCAGGCTTGGGACTCGAACCATGGTCAGTCATGTGGGAGTGACCAGCGCCTTAACCACCACGCCACCTGCTGGTCCCCAAATATTTTTTTAAAGGGGGAGATCTATTCCAGAGGTCTCCCTTTAATTGGGTAAAGGGTCGGACTCTCGGTCACTGTGGTCAAAGGTCCGCCACGAGCTCATTGCCCGTTTCACGCTGTCAGCCATGGGTGTTTGCCCCTGTCCCTGTTACCATCAGCATCGCTCTCCCTGGAATTTCTGAGTTCCCCGCTGTCAGCGGCCCCTGCACCCCAGTGAGTGCTCCCCAGCGAGGCCTTGCCAGAGTGTGGGGGAAGCTCCCGCTGTACCTCCTCACCCTCGGGCTTAGGCCGCAGGCTCCGTCACCTCTTAGCATTTGTGGCACCAAAGCTGGTGGCTTGAAGACTTTGGGGAAAGGAGGTCCTTTAAGTTTCATCTGCAGATTTATTCTTTTTTATTTTTTTTTTTTAGAGATTTTTGCTATAGGGCACATGCGCTCACCAGAGAGACAGAGAAACGGAGAGATAGAAGGTGAGAAATCACCTCCTAGGAGGGATGGCCACACTGCAATCCCTTCTTCTCCTGGGATTGTGGGCATACATGCCTAGCGTGAGTTTCAAGCTGCCAGGTCTGGGACTCAAACTGTGGTCGGCCATGTGGGAGTCCAGCACCTTAGCCACTATGCCACCTGCTGGCCCCTATTTTCATTTTTATTTACTTATTTTTTCTTTCTTTCTTCTTTTTTAGTTTTGGTATTAGGGCACATGTGCTGTCTAGAGAGGGACAGAGAGAAGACAGCCAGTCGGGCATGGCCACACCACAGTCCCTTCTCCTCCATGTCTCCGTCCAGCTGGGAGTTAGGACACACGTGCCAGGCGTGTTTTTCAAGCTGCTGGGGCAGGATTGGTCGGCCATGTGGGATCTGGCTCCCATAACCACCAGGCCATGGGGCCTGCCTCTGTTTCTTGCTGAAGCTCAGGGTGGGCTTTTGTGTCCAGAGCAGCCCAGAGCCCTGACTAGTTCGTGAAGGAGCTTGACGTGTCCGGGGCATGCCTGCTGGGCAGCTGGTGAAGGGAGGCCAGAGGTGTGGGTGGCGGCCAGGCCATACGGCGCCTGGACGGCCTCTGTCCTCAGGTGCGAGGGCCCGGGGAGGGCCGGGAGCAGGACGGACGCTCAGCTCTGGGTGTAGGGAGACCCGCTGAGCTGCTGCGGTGGACTCACTGGGAGGGCGAAACTGCAGGCCCAGTGGCAGGGGACAAGGGACAAAGAGGAGGCCTAGACTGTGTCTCATCTCCCAGGCCCCAGTGGCCCGGCCTCGGATGAGCGCCCAGGAGCAGCTGGAGCGGATGCGCAGAAACCAGGAATGCGGACGGCCTCTTCCTCGCCCAGCCTCCCCCCGGCTCCTCGCCCTGGGGAGGACGCTGTCCCCGGCCAGACGCCAGCCCGACACAGAGCAAAGGGTGAGGGGAGCAGGGTTGGGGATGGGCGGCGGGTGCTGGGAGCCTCAGTTTCCCTCTCTGTAGAATGGGGATTGCCTCCTTCCTCCCTCCACACTGGGCTTGCTAAAGTCAGCTTCCTGGCTCCCCTGGTCCTGGGTGGGTGGCAGGGGTGGGTGAGGGGAGGCCAGAGCAACACCTCCCTCAGGGTGGGGGTCACAGATCTCAACTGGAAGCCCAGTGTTTCTCTCAGGTGCTTTGTCAAGTGCAAAAAAAAAAAAAAAAGAGAGGAAGAAATAGAGCCAGCGGAACATTTCATTTTACTCATGATATTGCAGTTGGGCACACTCCTCGATCTGAAGGCCAGTGTTTCAGATAGTTCAAGATGATTTCACCTTGTTATTAATTAAAATAATAATTCATTTAAGTTTTTGTATTATTACTGTCATTATTTTTAAATTCACCAGAGATAGAGAAGGAAAGCGATAAGGCAAGTTGCTGGATCCAGGACTTGAACCATGTGGGATTCCAGCTCCTTAGCTACCACGCCACCTGCTGGCCCTCACATTAGACATTTTTTCTATAATGGAAAGGTTTTTTTTTTTTTTTTTTTCTGCTATAGGGTATGTGTACTCGCCAGAAAGACAGAGAGAGACAGAGAGACAGAAGGCAAGAAATCACCCCCCAGGGGGGATGACCATACCACAATCCCTTCTCCTCCATTCTCCTCTCGGATCCTGGGCATGCACATTTAAGTCACCGGGTCAGGGAACTGAACTGTGGTTGACTACGTGGGAGTCCAGCGACATAGTCGTTATGCCAACTGCTGGTCCCTAGAGTTTTTTCTTTTTTTTTTTTGGAGAGGTTTTTGCTATAGGGCACGTGCACTTGCCAGACAGACAGAGAGACAGAGAGACAGAAAGTGAGAAATCACCCTCCAGGGGGAATAGACACACCACAATCGCTTCTCCATTCTCTCAAGATTTTGGGCATGCACGGACGCGTGCCCAGCATGAGTTTAAGCCATCAGGTCTGGAACTCGAACCACAGTCAACTATGTGAGAGTCCAGTGATGTAACAATTCCATCATCTGCTGATCCCAAACATTGTTTCTTAAAGGTCACATACTGCATTATTCTATTTATGTAACATTCTTCTTCTTTTTTTTTTGGAAGTGGTTTTTGCTATAGGGCGCTTGCGTTCGCCAGACAGAGAGAGACAGAGAGACAGAAAGCGAGAAATCACCCCCCAGGGGAGATGGCCACGATGCAATTCCTTCTCCTCCATTCTCCTCTCGGGGTCTTGGGCACACATGCACACGTGCCCAGCGTGAGTTTAAGCCACCGGGTCTAAGACTTGAACCACAGTCGACCACATGGGAGTTCAGCGACATAGCCATTACGCCAACTGCTGGTCCCTCTGTTTGTTTTTTAAACTAGTACTTATTTAACTTGATTTATTTCTTCATTCCTTTTTCAATTTGACCAAAGAGAGACACACGGATGGTATGGGGAGGAGTAAGAATGCAAGCCACCAAGTCCAGGACTTGAACCATGGTCAACCATGTGGGAGTGTCGTCAGCCATGTGGGAGTGTCTAGTGTCTTAACCACCATGCCACCTGCTGGTCCCCCTCCTTTTTTAAAAAAATAATTATTTTATTTATTGTTAGTGTTTAAAGAATTACTTATTTAATTCCATTTGTTATTATCATTTTTTAAATTTGACTAGAGAGAGAAAGGGAAAGCAAAAAAATAAGCCACCAGGTCTAGTACTTGAACCACAGTCAGCCATGTGAGTCCAGCACCTTAACCACCACGCCACCTGCAGGCCCCTTATTTTTTATTATTATATTATATTATTACTATTTCAGAGTTATTTTATTTAACTTTCTTTCTTTCCTCCCTTCCTTCCGTCTTTCTTTCCTCCCTTACTTCCTTCTTTCCTTCCTTCTTTCCTTCCTTCTTCCTTCCTTCCTTCCTTCCTTCCTTCCTTCCTTCCTTCCTTCCTTTCTTTCTCTCTTTATCTTTCTCTTTCTCTTTCTCTACTTTAATTTGGCCAGAGAGAGACAGAGTGAGAGAGAGAGAAACAGAGAGAGAGCGAGAAAGCAAGCTTCCAGGTCCGGGACTCAAACCGTGGTTGGCCATGTAGGAGTCCAGTCTAGCGCTCCTAACCTCCATGCTACCTACTGGCCCCTTTATTATTATTATTCTAAAGAATTACTTTATTTAACGTCATTGATTGATTTTAATTTGACCAGAGAAGGAGAGAGAGAAAGCAAGAAAGCAAGATGCTGGATCTGGGACTCAAACTGTGGTTGGCCATGTGCGAGTCCAGCGCCCTCAACCACCTCCCCACCTGCCATTCCTGGCCCCTTTATTATTATTTTTAAATTCGACCAGACTGACTCAGAGAGAGAGAAAGGGAAAGTGAGAACGCAATTTGCTAGTCTGGGACTCGAACCATGGTCAACCATGTGGGAGTCCAGCGCCTTAATCACCACACCACCTGCTGGCCCCCAGTTCAGGAATTCTAATGCCCCAATTCCTTTTCAGCCTGTCTTAGGACAATCGGGAGCCCCCAAATGGCTCAGAAGCTCGGGGTCCTGGAGTAGGTAAGGAACTGGAGGGTGTGTCCAGGGAGCAGGGAAATCAGTTTCCAAAGGGGTGAAGAGTAATCTTACTAAAGTCTCCTGAGTACTGAACTGCTAGTCTCAAAATTTTTAGACTCTTGAGTTTCCTGGGGCATCTGAACCTAAATCCGAAAACCCAGGTCCCAGAGTGAGAACGGCAGTTCTTCGACTCCCTTGGTCAATATCGAACGCTCCCTGCACATCGGTAGAGGATATCTGGTACAAGTGGACTACAAATCCCACAATGCACGCGGGCTGTGCGTGGGCGGCGCCCGCTTCCAGTCTTTCAGGAACATGTGCTAGGGACTACAACTCCCAGAAGGACTCGCCCACACAGCCGTCCTCGCTGTCCCCGCTAATCCCATACCTAACTAATCCCCAACCCCTAATTCTTTTTTTATAGTCCAAGGAACGCCAGCCCTTACTTGCCGACACCCGAGGGCCACCGGGAGCGGGTCCTCAGCCTCTCCCAAGCCCTGGCCACTGAGGCGTCGCAATGGCACAGAATAATGACAGGTGAGAACCTGGGGATCTTGGGCTCCTCGGTTTGAGGGAAGAAGGGGCTGGAGGCCTAGAATCCTAGACCCTGGTGAGGGGCCGCTGAGACGCCTTTGTCTTGGTGAGGAAAAAGCTGGGTAGGACTTGGAACTTTAGGTCCCAGTGAAGTGGGAACGGGGATCCGGGGCATAAGAGTGAAGAGGGAGGACGCCCGAGGGCGGGACACCTGTCTCAGAGAACAATGTCCCGAGGGAGAGGTCCAGATTCCTGGGTCTGAAGGAGGAGGGAGCTGGGGGACCGGACTCCCGAGGGTCCGGAGTCCCGAAGTTTGCCATTCTCATGCCCCACGCATCCTTTCTAGGTGGGAATTTGGACTCTCGGGGAGACCCCCTCCCCCCAGCACCGCCGCCTCCGCCGGACCCCACGCCCCAGGTGTCCTCTCCGCCGCGATCTCCTCCGGTGGCTAATTCTGGTTCCACCGGGTTCTCGCGCCGCGGTAGTGGGCGTGGAGGAAGCCCGGCTCCCTGGGAGCCCACGTGGGTTCCCGGGACCGCACCCCCCGCCCTGATCCACGACGAGGGGGCGTGGCCTCTGCGAGTCACTCTGCTGCAGTCCAGCTTCTGAACGCCCTGAACGCGGCAGCCAATTGGAGCGCGAGGGCGTGGCCTGGAGGTCCCGCCCTGAGACCTGTGACCACTCAGGACGCCTGGGGGCGTGGTCTGGCCTCCACCGCTTTCCTAGAAGGGGAGCCGATTCCACCGCCAAAGTTTGGTTTTCCCAATACTGTCCAAATTTGGATTAAAAACTTTGAGCTTTAGATAATAGCTTTCTTGCTGTCTGTTTGGGGTTGTGACTGGCGTCTTTGAGAGGCAGAACTGGAGTCGTGGACTCCTGGGTTCCAAGAAAGGAAAGAGCAGGTGCTTTGGACTTCTAGGTCCGAGAGAGAGGGCGCCTTGGGCCTGGATGATGGGGTCTGAGAAGGGCGGACATCCAGAAGCTGACCCCTAGGTCTGCGGCTGGGCTGGGGCTGCACTCCCGGGTCTGGGGAGGAGGAGCCGCGGCCAGACCTCCAGGTCCTTGCCCTTCCCGGCAACGCCCCCCTTCCCAGGGCTGGGCCTCCAGGATCCAGCCCCTATTTAAGGTTCAGCACCACGGCCTTACCGGACTTTGGAGGTGGAAAGAGGTCCCGAGTGAGTGACACACACACACTTGCGGGAATGGCTCCAGGAACGCGCTATGCCGGGAAGGTAGTGGTCGTGACCGGGGGCGGGCGCGGCATCGGAGCCGGGGTCGTGCGTGCCTTCGGTGAGTAGGGGGCTGGCTGCCCGAGACTGCAGAGTCTAAGAGGAGGGATCTGGGAGAGGGCGTGTGGGTAAGGGAAGAAAGGACTCCCGGAGTCCGGATTCTCGTCTTATAAAAGCCCCGAAGTGCGGGGCTGGCTGCAGTAGCCCGGGTCTCCAGGCGGTCCCCCCAGCTGTGTCCTCGTGTGGCGGGGTCTGGGAGTATGTCTCCTGCAGGCTGAAACCCACAGACGGGGCTCCGGAGCCCCCGTGGGCAACTGGGGTGGCCCGGCCAGACGTCTGCCCTTTGCCCTGGGGTCATAAGACTTTGGGGTCAATAGGGGAGGGCAGGCGGAGGGAAGGAGAGCCCGCCCCAGGGGGCCGCCGGAGGCCAGCAGAGGCCTTCACCCAGGTCCGCGGAGTAATCTGTCCTCTTCCATTGTCAGTGGAGAGCGGGGCCCAGGTGGTAATCTGCGACAAGGACGGTGAGTGGGGCTCCCTCGTCCTCACCCCAGCCCCTCCTCCCTCGGACTGGGTCCCCTGCCCCTCCCCGCTCAGACCCAGAGCGCGCCCCCCAGTCTCCTGTTCCGGCAGAGTCCGGGGGCCGCGCCCTGGAGCACGAGCTGCCTGGAGCCGTCTTCGTCCTCTGTGATGTGACCCGGGAGGATGACCTGAGGGTGAGCGCCTGTTCTGCCCCCACTCCCTGGCCCTGGCCCTGGCCCTGGCCCGGGGGCTCTCTACGCTGCTGTCCGGGGTGCCCTTCCCCTTCCTTTCCCTCCCCACTGACTGGGGACCCTGAGGGCTCCGCGGAGAGTCCCACGCCCACCTCAGCCCCCAGGCCTTCCTTGGGCGGTGGTTTGTCTCCTGGGTGTGTCCTGGGCTTCTGCATCTTTAAGGCCCTTATGGCGGCTGTTACCACAGCCCTCCCTGAGCAAGGAGGGACTCCCTGCAGTCCCTCTCCCTTTTCTGGTGTTTCTATTGCCAATAGGCACACGCTCTGGTCAGAGGGAGAAAGCATCCCCAGGGGCATAGTCAGCCACAGTTCCTCCCTTTCTCCATCCTGTAGAATTTGGGGTACACCCGCACATGTGCCTTGAGTGTTTTTCAAGCATGCGGGGTTAGGATTCCAACTCAGTTCGACCAAGTGGGGTAGGACTCCCTTAACCATCAGGCCATGGGGCTGGCCCACGGATGTCTGTCTGTAACAGGGGTTTTCTTTCCCGTTTCTGGCTTTCTGTTCTTTCCATTTTATCGATATCTCTCTGTTATCTGTCTCTCTGGATCTCTTTCCCCATATCTCTGGGTCTCTGTCCTCCTCTCATTCTGGGTCTTTTCGTCCCTCTCTCTCGAGGTTTCTGCCCCTCCCCCCCATTCCAACTCACTCTCCCTCTGTCTGGGTCTCTGCCCCTGAGTCCCTGGGATGCCTGAGCCTCCTTGTCTCTGACACCCCCCCTCCTGCCAAGCCTAGTGATGGGGTGTCCCTCGCGCCCTGCAGCCCCTGCACCCTCAGCTGAGCATCCCGCTGAGGGTCAGTCCCTCCCTGCCTCCTTGGGGACTTGGCTTCAGGCCGGGCGCCACCCCGTCATCCTTACGGCTTTTCTCTTCTCCCCAGAACCTCATTTTGGAGACCATCCGCCGCTTCGGCCGCCTGGATTGTGTGGTCAACAACGCTGGCCACCGTGCGTCCCGCAAAAAAAAATACGGTGTGTGTGTGTGTGTGTGTGTGTGTGTGTGCTTGCTGGAGAGACAGAGACAATGAGAGGGAAAATGAGAAATCATTGCCCGTAATCTCCTCTCCATTCTCCTCCCAAGATCTTGGGCTTACGCACCTGTGCCTGGTATGAGTTTGAAGCCACCTGATCTGGGACTTGAACCGCGGTCGACTATGTGGGAGTCCAGCGACGTAACTGCTATGCCACTGCTGGCCCCCTTAGTCCCCCATCCTGCTGCACCCCTCTGTCCACTTGGACGGGACTGCCATGGAAGCCCTGGGCCCCTCCCTGCTGTTATCCTCCTGCTGTCATGGTTCCCGGGGACTTGGGCGCTCTCTGGGTGAGCAAGCGTCCCAGCCTCCCGCCGTGCTCAGCTCTGGGCACACGGCTCTGTCCTGCAGTCGCAGCTCACTCATTTAGGAAGTCAGGCCTAGGGCCTTCTCTTTGCCCATGGCAGTAAGGACGAGCTGGGCGGAGTGGCTTCTGAGGGGGCTGCCCAGCTCAATGAGCACCCGTCATAAGCACGCTTTGCCCTGGGAGAGTGAGGAGAGTGATCGGTTGGACTGGAGTCCAAGGACAAGCTGATGTAGACAGCAGGCTCCCTGGTCAGCCGCTCCCCTCTCTGGGCCGCACTTCCCTCCGCACAGTGCCGGGGCTTAGAAGGGGCAGCCAGTTCGCTCTCCCTGTATGCCCTCCGTGCACCCCACTGTCCGCTGCACATCTCCTCTGCCCCACGCTCTGCGAGAGTGGAGAATCCCATTCTAGAGGAAGAAAATAGCAAGAAAGGGGGTCGGCAGGTGGCGTAGTGATTGGGGCACTGGACTGTCACGTGGCCGACTGTGGTTTGAGTTCTGGACCCGGCGGCTTGCTTTCTAGTTTTCCCTTTCTCTCTCTCTGTCTGCCTCTGGTCAAAGTACAAAATAATACTAACAAATAAAGGGAAGAAAAGAGGAAAAGAAAATAGTGGGAAACGCCAGTAGGGGTCCATCCTCATGAGTCGGGGATCCCACTCGCTAAGATGTATTTGTAACCCCACAGTCAGGACTCTGGGGCTTTCCCCACTAATTTGAGAACATGC